TTCAGGAAAGGGAGAAACGCAATGGACTCTATTTTATGCCTCGAGTCAGAGATAAGGAAAGCACAAGCTAACAAAGAATCAGTTATTGCAGTCTTTTTCGATATAGAAAAAGCTTATGATACACTTTGGAAAGAAGGTTTATTAGTAAAACTGGAAAAACTTGGGGTAAAAGGAAAACTATTTAATTGGATAAGTAATTTTTTGTTTGAAAGAACAATAGAAGTGCGAGTGGGAAAGGAATTTTCAAGTAAATATATTGTGGAGAATGGTACTCCTCAAGGTAGTGTTTGTAGCCCAGTATTATTCTTGATAATGATCAATGACATATTTGATAAAATAGATCATGGAATCAGTAAATCTTTATATGCGGACGATGGAGCTTTATGGATTCGTGGTCGTAATGTAGAATATCTCAGAAATAAAATGCAAAAGGCAATCAATGAAGTTGAAATATGGTCCAATAACTGGGGTTTTAAACTTTCAACAACAAAATCTCAAGTTATCTGCTTCTCTAGAAAACATAAGTCTATCTCCTTAAAGTTATATGGTCAAAACCTTGAACAGGTTAAGGATATAAGATTTTTAGGCATGATTTTTGATGAAAAACTTACATGGAAGCAACATATAGAAAAAATAAAAATAAAATGTAAAAATGTTAATAATTTATTGCGTTGTTTAACAGGAAGGGAATGGGGAGCAAGTAGGGAAGCATTAGTAAATATATATCAATCACTTATGAGATCAACAATGGACTATGGCAGCATTAGCTATATGGCAGCAGCAGAAACTCATTTAAAACTTCTGGATATAGAACAATCAAAAGTACTCAGAATATGCAGTGGAGCATTTAGAACATCACCAGTTTCAGCTCTACAAGTTGAAATGGGGGAAATGCCTTTACGAATAAGAAGATTGAAACAAATGTTACTATACTGGATTAATATTAAAGGACATGACCAAACACACCCAGTTCATAATATATTACAGGAATGTTGGGAACATCAAAAAACAAATATTTATAGTTTTGGCTGGATAGGTAATATCAAAGCTCACTATGCAGGGTTGCATGAAATAGAATTAAGTCCAACAGTTAATCAATCGTGTATCCATCATTGGTTATATATTTATCCTTCTGTCGATTTATCATTACATAAATTAATCAAAAATAAAGGGAAAAATATTTCAGAAAACTTCTTAGTGCAACAATTCTTTCATAAACAACATATGGATAAAATTATAGTATTTACAGATGGATCAAAAGATCCAGAATCAGGACAAACAGGAGCAGCAGTGTACATCCCAAATCTAAATATAGAGATGAAGAAAAGAACAACAAACAACTTGACAGTATACACAGTAGAATTATTAGCTATAATCATGGGTTTAGAATGGATTGAAAAGTATAATGGTCAAAAATATGTCATTGCATCGGATAATATGGCAGTCTTATTAAGCATCAAATCAAGTAAATCAGAAAGACAAGACCTAATTGACAGGGTTTACCACATTCTATATAAACTTCACTTGAGGGAAATATCTGTAGATTTTGTTTGGGTTCCAGCACATGTGGGAGTGGAAGGCAATGAAGGTGCAGACATTCTTGCTAAACAGGCAGTAAAATCTAAAAATGTAAACTATGAAATTCCATTAAGTAAATCTGAGTGTAAAATGATAATAAATAGATATGTTACGAATATATGGCAGGATAATTGGGACATAATTGATACAGGACGACATTTGTATAACATTCAGAAAAAGGTAGGAGGCACAAAGAAAACGGGAAGAAACAGAAAAGTAGAAACAATAATGACCCGAATCAGAATAGGACATACGGGTCTCAATAGCTCTCTTAAAGTAATAGGAAAACATGCCACGGGGTTATGTGATAACTGTAATCTCCCTGAAACAGTAAAACATGTTTTTATGGAATGTTGTGGATATGAATTAGAAAGAAGACATTTCCAAAAAGAAATAACTAAAATGAATATAAAATTTACAATTAATGATATCTTTAGTAGTGATGCTGGTAAAGTCAAAGATCAAATTATTATTTTCTTGAAAAAAACAAATTTAATGGAGAGAATTTAGATGAAATATAGATGTGAAGTTATTTCACAGAATTATTATTATTATTAATATTATTTATTTATATATTTTACATATTATTATTAATTTATTTTGTTTATTTATTTATCTATCTATTTTTATTTTATTTTATTTAATATTACTATTATTATTATTATTGATTTTTTTTTTTTTTTTTTTTTTTTTTTTTTTTTTTTTTTTTTTTTTT